CTTTTCTATTATCATTGGTTGTTCATTGATAATATTAGCGTTTTACAGCGATGAACAGTTTTGGTTTTGATTTAAAATGTTTTGTTTTTCAGAAATCTCAGCAGCATAGAGCCTTCCAGTATGCCTATCGCCTGCCCTCCCGTCGAATGCCAGAGTTTGGTGCTAAACTTGCTTTTGTGCGACTCGTTCATCAATCTACAGCGAGACACAATATTTGACTCTTGTCCGTTGTGTGTCTGTAACATGAACATCTGTGGTGTTGAAGTCGGCTTCTACGTCGCGCCAAGCAAGAAGCAAGACAAAGGTAGCCTCTCAACGGCGTCCCATTGGACGAATAAATGCACCTGCGGCTTCAGGTACGTGTACGCATTATCTGCTTAGAGAATGTTATTTGTTAATGTGCGTATGAAAATGCAAGTTTGGATTTTAGTGCCGTTAGAAATCGATACTTAAGTTACATGTCTGGCATGTTCCTCGAAGATGAGGACGATGCCACAGACGCGGCATGGAACAATGCGACAGCTTCAGCCGTCGCCCCCGCCAAGACCGATTTCACCAAGGATATCGTTGAACTGGTCCGTTACCAGAGTCTGGCGTCCGATCTCACCTGTTCGTTGCTGCATTTTCGTCCGAGCTGGCAGGCCCTCGACGCCAAAGCGGCCAACAGACCACCGAAGTACGACGTGAATGCGGTCGAACTGCAGGACTTTAGCCACCTATGCCAAATGGCTCTGGAGCAAGCGTGCATTGCCATGGACTGCGCCGTATCGAATCGCAGCGATGCGCAGTTAACGACCAAACCGTGGCTGCATCGATGGGGATATCTGATCGCCGATGAACTCAGCAGCAGTTTGGAAACTATGTCGCTCTTACGGTACGTATATTACGTTTGCTTGGCATTTGCTGTAATTTTGCCTCAACGGTCACGGCTTCCATCACTTTTGTTGTCCATCTGCAAAACAACATGAACAAAGGTTTTATTATTATAGGCTGACATGGCGTTCTTCTCTACCTTACCTTATGATGGGTGGAAGAATGCAGTAACGTTGACTCATCGGAGCATGTGATGAACTGATTTGTTTACGTGAGCGTGTATCTCTGAGTCAGTTACAGCTAATGATTTGTTCTTACTTTGTGTTAATCAGCATCAAAAGCAGACTAGTCTTTTGTAGTACACAACTTGTTCCTGCGTTAATGATAGCAAACTTGTTGGAAATAATGTTTCAGATCAACATTGTAAAGTACGCATACTAGTAGGTAACCGGTTTTATGCTTTTAAGGTAATTCAGTCTCCCCCATGCGTGCACAGTAATTTCTGTGGCACAAAATACATTCATTTTATCCTGCCTACTGGTAGGCCATACTCATCATACCACTTCGAAAGTTTGTCGATACTTTACAAAGTATTGTGTTCATCCCTTGATGAACACAGCATCTTGAGTTAAAATGAGGGATCATTTTTTGTAACCAACATGACTTGGTGTTCATGCCTGAGTTCACCTATGCGCTCTTCAGTTTACGTTGTTATCTGTAGAAATTATCTTTCGATTAAATACGTTGACCTTGTCACCAATACTCCGCCATGACAATCTGTAATTTATTTGCTTCGCCGTTGTACTTATTTTGTTTATTGCTCCTTATTTCCTTATATCTACCTATTCCGTTACCATGTCAAATCCAAGAGGTGAACTCCTTGCCAATAAGGCTTTTCATCCAATCGGAGAAAAGGGGTGCAACTACACCGACTTTGATTTATCCTACAGGTTGTTTACCACCTTGACGTGCAGCATCGTTTCAGATTTTACTTGTCAGATCTATTTTAAATTATTTATATAACAAATGAACAAGAAAATACGTATTTATTAGCATAAACTATTTATTGACGAAATTTGACCTAAAAAACAGTGCTTTAACCCCTTAAAACTTATTCTGAAAAACGCCATTTATGGCAGTACGCTATCAAAAGTTTATCAATTATCTTATATACCGAGGATTCACGTTCTGGTTTGCTGAAATGGCCGAAGTGTGACTACATGTGACATTTTAATGTCTATATACATAGACGTTAAAACACTGTAAACACGATTTAATGAAACTCTTCGCAAACAGTTGGACTCCGCGATCTGAAAGTATATGCAGTATTGGAAAATCACTGAGTCGCAGTGCATTCGACCGTATTTAATGTGCCCTCTTGAGGGTAAAGTTCGCGTTGTTTTGTTTCTTTGAAGCTTAAAGTTCAACTTTTAATCTATTTTGCTGTTTCTCTGGATTGTCACAGACATGATTGAAGCAACTCATACGATCTGCGCACAGTTTACATCCTTTGTCCTGGTTGCGACGTTTCTTTTTTGTATATGTAAAATTTTCCGCCGTTACAGAGTAGTTTGCAAGTTCAGCTTAAAGTGTCAATTCGCAGAATGACATAACAAAGCGTTGTTTGTTAGTGGTTTTAGGTGCTACATAAGCATTAAATTTAATGTTTTATCTTTTCTGTAACATTTCAGTGTCGCTTTTACAATACGGAAAAAGTTAGGTGCAGCATATCTTTTAATACGTTATACCAAACGTTAATACGATACCAAATTCACAGTTTTCCCATCAATAGAAGTGATCGAATATGCCTAAAAGATGTTAAGGTGTACGGAATTATTGAGTGCTTCGGCGACCAAGAGATGGAGAAGTTAAAGTCGAGCACTGGTCCTTAATTGACAGCCAAATATCTACCGTAAACTTTGAAGTCGACAAGCTTAAATGTTCAGAAATGTCCCAGATATCATTCACTCTCTGTGGAAGATTCAGACCTCGATTATACAAACATATTCATTGAAAAAAGCTTGCAACATTTATAAAGAAGCAGTGGTAACAACGGCAGAAAAGAAACGAAGGAGTTCATGATAAATTTATAAAGTAAGCGATTGCGAGAAAAGACCATGCTTGCCAAAACTGATAATTAACTAAGTTCACAACAGAAAAGATAAGGCTCTTGTATGAGAGAGGCAGACTGAAATGATTTTAAGATGCGACTCGTAAAAATGATAGAAAACCTTTTACAGTCCGTTGCGCATTCGTCAAAAAAGGCCTCGCTGATATCTGTTGTGAAAGAGGACGAAATTATCACGTCTGATCTTAAACATGTCATTGAGGTATGGGGAAAATTATTTTAATCACTGCTTAACCCTGATATGATCATGAACCAAGATTCGTTATGTTGACAAAAGACGAATACAGTGGATGCTGGTACTGTACCGCAGAATCTTCCAGCAGTGGCTGAAGAAGTCTCTTGCCAACTGAAATATGGTTGAGCTGTTGAAATGGATAAAATGCGAGATGAATTAATTAAGGAATATGAAACGAACGATGCACTGGCATAAATGAATCTTTATCGATTGTTATGTTAGGAAGAAATCATGAATGATAGGATGAAAGGTATTGTTGTCCCGGTATTCGAGATCCAAACAACTACCGTGGATTCGGCCTACTGTTCGTTCCTATTAAAGTGTTCATGCCTGTTATGGCGATGTTACAGGATTAAACAACATGTTTAGAAGATTTTGGATGAAGGGCAGTATGAACTCAAGGCATGCTTGAAGTTGGGCCAGATATTTACAGCGAGACAGCTGATGTAAATTAAAAAAGAAAATGGTGATTGAAATTTCTTGAAATATTAATTCATTTCGCCAAAGCGTTTGATTCAATCTGGAGAGATGCTTTGTGGAAAGTTGGTGAGCAAAACGGAATCTCAGAAAAGATTATTTGCATAGTTGAAAAGATGTACGATCTTTCGCCACGTGCGGTGCGAATTGATACCATCTTCGACTAACACAAAGGAGTGAAGCTACGATGGCAAGAGTAGGAAACATGTTCTTAAACTTTCATGCGTTTCCGAATGGTACTTTATTGCTTGCAGACACCTTCGAAGCAAAGGCATCACGGTTCCAAACTCTGAAACAAAGGCGTTCTGATCTGAGATTCTCGTTGAGTCTTTTGGTGATATACCCATTTCACGTAAATTAATTTGCACATGAAGTTTGTTTCAAATCTGGTCACAAGCCGTGTGGTGAACAAACGTGCGATGCTATCATTT